TGTGAAATTAAATCGTCTATAATTTATCAACTACGCATTTCCTTACCACGGGATTTGGATGTTTGTTTAGTCGTTACCATGACAAGCGATGGGGGATTTATGTTATTAGCCACTAGTAAAAGGCAGGGGCGCATGTATGGGGGTAATGGGGATAATTACCCCCTCCCCCAAATGTTTAAACCTAACTTTTTATAGATACTAAAAGTGATAGTGATACTAAAGTGATACACAGTGTTCATGTAAGGGTTTTACTTTACAGGTATTTTTATGAAGTCTAGTAATTTAGATTTAAGTATATGTGATTATAATATCTAAAATTTACCATTGTTGCAAATTATTTTTGTTCTTGCACTTGCAGATACTAAACACAACAGAAACTAGCAATGAGTAAGAGAAAACAGAATACCTTAGATAATTATTTGTTAAAACCAAAACAAAATAGGGGAATAATAACCTCGGAAGTCGTGAATTTATCACCAGTCGGGAAATCCTCTAAGGAAGCGGGTTCGAGTTCGAGTATGGGTAAACAAACCGCCGAAACTAGCGCCGGCAGCAGCAGTGACCACAGCGTTGCCACATTTAATATTTTACATGGTTATAAAAAATCGATAGACATTGCCCCTTTTGTCAATACATCTAAAATAATTACATTGTGGGAAAAGTATTCGGTTTTAATGTACTCTATGGTTCCGGATCAAAATTTTACGTACCCGTTTTCAATTCACAGAAAAAATAATAAAGATATTAAATGCTTTTTATCAAAACGACATTTTGATACTTTTTCTTGGCTAACATATTCGCAAGGTTTAGAGGGTATATTTTGTAAATTTTGCGTTATTTTTTCAAAAGTGGGTAGTGTACATCAGTCAACTAAGTTGGGACGTCTTGTTACCACTCCACTAAATAAATATTCCAAACTATTCGGAAAAGATGGTGATTTGATAATGCATGATAAATTGGTCTATCATACATTAGATCAAGAAAGACAAAGGCAGATTTTAGAAAATAAACTTGGATTGAAACCCATTATAGAGTCAGTAATCTTTTTGCGACGACAAAATATTCCTTTTAGAGATCATAGAGATCGAGGATCTCTTGTCGTTTCCGAAGGTTCTTCTAAAGATGAGGATAGTCTTGTAAATAATGAAGGTAACTTTCATGAATTAATTAAATTTAGAATAGAGGGTGGCGATGTTCTATTAAAAAAAACGCCAAATGAAATAATTGAATTCTGTGGTGAGGAGATTTTAGAAGCCATTTTACAACGAGTAAATAAAAGTCAATTTTATAGTGTAATATTTGACGAAACCACGGACGTAAGTCATACGTCACAAATGTCAATAATCTTAAGATACTGTTACGAAAATTGTCTGTACGAAGACTTCGTAGGTTTTATTGATTGTCACGCAATTAGAACCAACAGTTAGTGGTGAAATTTTGGCTCAAATCTTATTTAATTTTATTAAAAAAATTAATTTAAATCCCGATAAGTGTATAGGAAATGGAACTGATACTTGCAACTTAATGCTTGATGAACAAAAAGGAGCCGTTACTGAATTAAAAAAAAAAAATTAACTAATGCACTTAGAAGTCCTTGTGCCAGCCACTCGTTAAATATATCTATTTCAAAAAGCTTAAACGTTCAAGGTGTTAGAAATGCCGTTGGCGTTATAAAAGAGGTAAATGCATTTTTTAAAGCTTCCGCAAAAAGAAATTTTCTTCTTGAGCAAAAGTTAGATGGCCATAGTCAGTTTTAAAGTCTTTGTGAGACCAGATGGGTTAAACGTCATGAATCTGTGCTTCAGTTTCAAAGTACTATTCAAATCATTTTAGACCTTCTTGATATTATTACCCACTGGAAAGATCGAGACGCCTCTTCAAAAACAGAATGTTTAAAAAATGCTATAGGTTCCACCGTTTTTATAGTTTCTTTATGCTCTCTGTCTGATATTTTAGCTTTGACTGTAAATTTAAGTAAAATATTGCAAAAAAGTCAATTGATAAACACTATGTTACTACGCTTACACAAAATGTTATCACCATTTTAAAAGAAGGACGTAGAAATTCCGAAACTTATTTTAGGGCCATTTTTATTTTAGTGTCAGATATTCATAAAAAATTAGATTTAGAAATTATCAAACCAAGAGTTACTCAGAGACAAACGCATCCCCCAATATATCTGCAGAAAATAACGAATCTTATTTTAGACTTAGCATCTATATTCCTTTGTTAGATAATATATTGCAAGATCTCCAATTTCGTTTTAACGAGGAATCTTTGAATACCTACGAGTTCAATATATTTTTTCCTTCAATTTTCAATTCAAAAACGGATACTGAAATTAGTCAGTCGATTGAAGTAGTTGCGGAATATATAAGCAAATTTGAAAATAACCAAAACAGAGATTTAATACTTTTAAAATTAAAATCTGAATTCAGTATTTGGAAAAGCGTAAAAAAAGCGATACGGATGGTATCAGTTTATATTCGTCTTGCGATGAAAATATATTTCCTTTATTAAAAAAATGCCTACAAGTTTTGGTCACTCTACCCGTTAGTGTAGCTTCAGCTGAAAGAAGCTTCTCCTCTCTGCGGCGCCTTAAAACCTGGCTTCGTTCACCAATGGGTCAGGATAGATTAGTTGGGCTATCACTTCTGTTCATACACAGAGACATTCAAGTAAATGTAGACCATATTATAAATAGATTTGCAAATAATAAAAATAGACGACTTGATTTTACGTTATAATTTTTTTCATTTCATGTTTTCTGGTCATGCGAGTATGTTATGTCCAAGAAAATATTTTTGTTTGTTTCTGTTATGTTTTTATTTATAAGCTTTCGTGTTATTAATGTTTTTAAAATGTGTTTAATATTTATTATACATGTAAAGTTGTTCTTTTTAAATTTACTTGTATTGTATGTTTTTTGTTTGTTTTGTTTTTAAATTATATCAGAAATAAAGTCAATATTTTCACTACCCCCCAAACTTAAACTCTGGATGCGCCTCTGGTAAAAGGACGTCCAGAGTTAATACAGACGGTTTTCAATAAAACAACATTTTGTCACATGCACTATGTTATAACTCAGAGGTCATAATGTTCCCCTTACTGATATCTTTTATTTGGCATATATCTTACTCCTATTGGGGAAGGTGGGCAAAACTGCCCATTCTTCTTTAAATACAATTCTGCATTATCTCAAACAAAAACAAAACGGCATATTCACCTGTGATAATCAAAAATCATAGAATCTTATTTCTAATGCATCGTTATTTCCAATATACAAATTAACACCTGTAAATGACTCACTCTGTTGTAAAAAAATATCCCAAGAACTCTCTAGAACTCATGATCTAAATCCCTCTAGACCCTCTCTGGAACAAAGTAACATCCAAGTTGCTCTTGGGTGTGTCATTTTCACATTATCACTTTGACTATACTAGGGTGACCGATCACATTTCTTTTGATCCAATGCTGGAAGCTGGACAACATTGAAGAGATGAGGATCTTTTTTAAGCTTACAAAGTTAAATAACAAAAACAGAGAAATCATGTAATTTTTTCAGCTCTTCAAAGATTATTGCAAAAACAGAAAAATAATTATTACATTAATGGCATTTTGCTGGACAAATATAGCGTTCTGCTGGACCTTAAAAGTGCTGTTTTATACAGCAGATTGCTGTACGTGTGGTCACCGTAGACTTATAGCCATCTTTTCTATTTTCCATCAATCAATTCAGTATTAAACCTACTCTTCCCTCGATCACATCGTTTTTCAGCTCAAACAAATTCACTATCGCATATTTCGAAACTTAATATTTTATAATATAATCTACAGTGTGTATTAAAACTTACTGCCTTCTACAGTGTGGTGTCCCATTAGTGCGTAAATGTTCAATATTTCAATTTGTGTTATAAACAGGCAAACGTTTCAAATAAAAGTTACATGTACTTGAAAAATACATACGAGTATTTTAAAAATATTTTTGGATATACAGAGTGTTTCGTTTTTGTCTCGCAAATCAAAATGTATGTTTTTTAAATAGAAAACCATGTATTTTAATTGTAGGATGGTTTGGCAATACTGTATTCAACCCTAAAATGTTTTTAAAAAATATTACAGTGTTGCCAAGCAATTTTGTTTTGAAATTAAAGAAAGATGTAGACTCCAAATTAAATTATTATAATTTGGGTAGATTTATATTGATTTCAAAATTGTTTTTAGAATTCTAAGCTAACGAATAGTGGTGATAGAACTGATTTATTTTATACAGAGTGTTTTGAAACATATCTTAAATATGGCTAATTTTAAGTTCAATTTACTTAATTTTTTCAAATACAACACCCTTTATATTATCTTAGCACAAAGTTGTATGACCATGTTTAATAAATATTCTGAAATATACAGGGTGGTCCACAAACGAGGAGATGGCCAAACTTATACATTTTTAAAGCAAAATTCCCTTTAGGTAGTTATACATATTTGATTCGTTTTCACATCGTTAAAAAAATTTAGTAGTCTTCATGTATTTGCTATGTTGTATAAAGGATGTGTCAAAATGCAAGCTAACGATTTTCTCAATTCATGGATATTTATACATTGGACAAAATTAGAGATCAATTAACATCAGAATAAAGGAACATTTATAACAAAAGTTTTTCTTTTATGTGTGACAGTTTAAACTGTCAAAGTTTCAGCGTAATGTTTCAATATTGCATGCTTCTTTAAACTTTTTTTGTATTTGCATCTGTAGGAACAGAACTGACACTGAAACATGGGCTCCTTTTGACACTCAAATTTTATATGTGACCTAAGGGATCTATTATGCTTGTATTTTCTTCCGCAAGTCGAACAAGGATACAAAACTAAAAACAAAAAAAATAATAACAATCAAAAGAAAATTAATTACTACTTTGGGTAAATTTTTTCATTTTACAAGTGGTACTGTTAAAATTGGACCTGGGAAACTGTAACATGGAACATATATAAAAAAAAATACCCAATAAATAACTTGTTTATTTAATTTAATTACAGATATCTACATACTATCAGAGGTTACATTTTTTTGTTTACTGTGTACATTGTTTATATGCCGCATCATGCTTCTTTTGTGCTTCAGTTTTTGTGGACAAAACGGGCAGTGAAATTGCTCTTGATTTTGACAATCGATGGTCAGGTGGGTTTTTAAAGATTTCTTGGTGGTATAATATTTACCGCACATTGGACATTCGAACTTTTCTAAAACAAACATTAATAGATTAGCTGTGTAAGGGAAAGGTGAGAAACTAATCAACCTAAAAGGTGGTGGTAACTGGTAAAAGAGAGTCTAGAGAAAATGATTGTCATGTACACACTTCATCACGGAGTTTAACAATCTAAGAAGTATCCTCGCCCTAATACTGTACCTGTTATTAAGGGATAGATCCGTTGAACTTCTATTCTTGCTTCTTTCTCTTCTTCTTGTTGGAATACCGTTTCAATCGATTTGATTAAATTCAAGAAATTGTTCATATATTATACATACTTTAACTGAGTGAGAAGCTTTTTGCAAAATAAATAAGGCAGGTTTAATTTATTACCTTACAAATATGGCACAGTGCAAGATGTTTTTCTTCTAAAACATTTTTGCTAACTTATTTCAAGATTTAACTAACCCATGCATAATTACTAGGATACATTAATTGTTCCTCATATCATTGATTGTTGGCGTCTTCATTAACTAATCTTGTTTGATTCCCAGCTCATTTGGAAGAATAATCGAAAGCAACAAATCTTAAGCAACAAAAGTTATTTTATTTTATATTTTTTTAATAATAAATTTACATTTTTTTGGAAGAAACACAATTATTATCTCTATCAAATAACAAGTAAATAATTTATATATTTTTAAATCTTTAATCAATAGAAAAAGTAACATTTTGAATAGGAGAATTTTTCCAACTTTGAATTTTTCGTGAAGGTGGAATAAATTCAAAAATAAACTATTTTTAAACAGAATCTAAAAATGGGTACATTAATTTTTTATTTTTGAAAGACCATCTCTTGATTTACATTTAAAAGATGTTTTGCCACTATAACCTTAATGGCGTAATTGACAAGTCATGAGACACCTCATTTAAAATGTCTCCTCTCAATGTATACCATGTATATTATGAGATGATCTTTAAAAAATCATAATTAACATGTTTTAGAATCTGTTTCCATAGTCGTCTATTAATTCCATACATTTGCATCATCTTTTGATATTTCTCTTAATGCATGAGATGTTTTACTCTAATTGATGAATACAACATTGAAAAACCTTCATAAAAAAACCAAATTTAAAAAACTCCCCACCAACACCCATTCGAATGCTTTTCCTGGAACTACAAATCAAACTATAACTTCGGATCGTGAATTTTGTGCCTTCTTTCAATATGTTTCACCAAATTCTTTTTCAATTTCGATCTATGCGTGCAGTACGGACATTGGAACTGCGGCTCCTTTTGACATTCGAATTTTAAATGCGCCCTTAAGGACCTGTCATGCTTGTAATACTTTCCACAGACTGAACAAACAAAGGACTCTAAAAAAAATGGTTCTTAAAAGATTTTGTTTATGTCGATATTTCGGTTCTCAATTATAGTACTGTTATACAATGTTTAAAAATGGTAAACCTCAGAATGAAAAATAGAAAGCTATAAACTTGTATAAATCTTTGTTTTGACATTTTATAAGTTGGCTCAAAGGTCTCACATAATTTCGTTTACGTGAGTCAAGATATTCAAGGTTAAAGTGTAAAATCAGCTTTTTGTAAATATCTCATTTCCTATGGCCTAAATGACATTTGGATTTATTTGAAAAGTTGTAGGGCAGAATTTTCTCTACAAGTTTTGTTTTGACAATATTTTATACATTGGACCATTCTTGAATTAGAGCGCGCAGAGTGGGTTGCAAAAATAGAATGGGTGGGGGGGCCAATTGAGCCCCTTAAGAAAATAATGGAAACAATTTTATAGCTGATTTTGTTTCACTTGCATTACTTGCTTTGTTTTACCGATTGGTAAATAAAAAGAAATCTTTTTTGAGAGGCCCATTTTGCCTTCCGTTTGTTAATTTCCAATTACTTTATATATACAACTAAGCGCTCCCCACTCTTCAAGCTATAACTCAAAAACGGTTGAGTGTATAAAATATCGGTTAGAACAAAAGTTATAAGAACGGTTTACTGTATAATTTTAAAACAAAAGTTATAGAGAATTTTCTGCTCTACAACTTCTTAAATAAACCCAAATGTGATTTACAGTCTGGGAAACAAGATATTTATAAAAAAAAACTATTTTTGCGACCTTTGACATTGAATATCTTGATTCGCGTACACTAGATGCTATTTGACTTTTGAGCCAACTTATAAAATATCAAATTTATTTCATTTCAAGGTTGAATCCCTATTTGACTGGAACAGGAGTTTTAAAGTAGGATTTTTAATTTATTTGTCTTCGAGGTAACCATACTAACCAGTATGGTTACGTTGAAATTAAAAATCATTAAACAGGGTTTCAGAATTATGTACATTTATTTTAACCAGTGGTAATTACTAACTTAGTGCAGTAGTTGTTTTGTGAGAATTGTCAAAATTCACATTTTTACGAATAATATATATATATGGATAGTGAAAACTGAAATAATTCTGATAGAATTTATTTTTTATTCCTTAATTACGGAACCACTTTTTTATATAACAAAAATATAAATATAAAACTATATATGTAGGGTACCGAGCACCCAAGGTCAACAGAAGCAACACCGCCACAGGTCAGCCGACTGAGGAAGAAGGCCAGGACGAACAAAGTCTCGTTTAAAGAGGCCCTTACTTCAGTGAAGGTTGCAGTGGTAGCAATAGTGTACCAGGAGATCAAAATGAGTCCAGAGAGACTAGAAAAAGTCCAAGACTCGATCTCCGAGGCCCACGATAAAATATCCACAAAGGAAACACAGGTGAGTTACGACAAATGCAGCTACAAGCCAGGGTACCTGGTGGTGACTTGCGCAGACCAGGAGATCAAAGTAAGTCCAAAGAAACTAGGAAAAGTCCAAGACTCGATCTCCGAGGCCCACTATAAAATACCCACAAAGGAAACACAGGTGAGTTTCGAGAAGTGCAGCTACAAGTCAGTGTACCTGGTGGTGACTTGCGCGGACCGAAATAGTGCAAACTGGTTGCAGGACATCGTCACAACCAACCTACCAACCTTGAGAAGGGGCAACCCTGAAAGCGTTGGAGGGTACCCATATCCCTAGGCCACTAGCCTGTACAACATTTATCCCCGACGAAAGAGGACAAAAGCTCAAAGGGGGAAAAATCCCCAAAAGGCAAAAAATAGCCAACCATGGTTTATAGTATGAGCATACATGAAAAAGCGGAGAAGGCCATAACAGCCAAGTCACTGGATTGAAACTCAGGCACTAGATATTGTCGACGGAGGCAATAATCCTGAAGGGACCAAGGAAGAGAACGAATATCGTTTTTAATATCGGAGACACGGTGGTGACCCCCCAGCAAACACGTGAAATATCTGGGCGTGTGGCTCGTATTTAATGAACACGTGAGAAAAACGTGCGAAAATGCGAAAAGGCAAACATCGGCCATATCTAGACTATTACCTAGCACGAGAGGCTCTAGAATAATGGGAAGAAAAATCCTATCGGGCGTGGCTGCATCCCTAATCCTGTATGCGACACCTGTATGGAATAGGGCAGTAAAGATAAAAAAATACAAGAATATGTTACTTAGTAGGCAAAGAAAGATGCTGCGAAGAGTCACCTCTGCGTACAGGTCGGTGTCCGGAGAAGCCGTAGCGGTTATCAGTGGTATTCCCCGATTGATATCCAAATAGAAGAGCGAGGCAGGGAGCCAGAAGTAGACGTAGCAAGAGAGAGAGAGAGAGAGAGAGAAGTGATAGTTCAAACGACGAAACGAAGATGGGCAGAACTCGAAAGTGTAACCCAGTGGATGAAGACTCTTATACCCGATCTGACAGCATGGCTGGACTGTAGTTTCAAACAAATCGATTACTATTTAAGCAGGCATATATATTTTAGATCGTAAATGCACAGTATTGGTAAGGTCCCAGATACGAGGTGTGTCTATTGCAATGAAGAGATGGACGATCCCAAGCACACAATTTTCCGGTGTCGCAGATGGAGCAATAAAAGGTCTGTCCTGGATTATAACATGGAGGAAATAAAACCAAACGAATTGATAAATTAGATGCAAGGCGAAGAGGAAATATGGAGAAATGTACATCGCATTATTATTGAAGTTCTTAAGCAAAAAGAGAAACAAGAGAGGTCCTAGAGCTTGAGAAAGACGCGGTCTCCCCGACATTATACCGCAAAGGTAGTTCAAGGAGGGGTCTCGGCCAAAGAGAAGATGGTTTTTAATGGGTAGTAGAATCCTGAGTCCCACACTACTCCTGAACAACCTAGGGGCGTGCGTAAAAAAGCATTTTCCATCTTCTAAAAAAAAGTGTTACACCCTCTGTCCATTTAAGATAATTTCTTTGTCAGTACCCTTAACCATGCCCAGGAATGGTTCTGGTTCTATGAACTCAGATTCGGCTCATATCTTACCACGCAAGTCAGCTTTTTTATTGCCTTACGGAACCCACATCAAAGTTACTTTGTTCTGGGCCCTAAGACACTAAATAATAAACAAAAATCCCATATGATACGGATTTTAACGGTGGCACACTGTATAAATTTTCCTGAGAACGAACCTACTTCACTTTTCTTTAATATTAAAATTTAGCATCTCTCTGGCTAATCTAATCTAGACGTGTAAGAACTAGAACCAGGGTCTGGAACCCTTTTCCACACCAAAAGTAAAGAAAAATTCCCTTTCCTTAAGATTACGGATTTGATTTCGCGTCTCTATGTTCGATATGGCCTTTTTGTATACAGCCATAACGCCATATCAACGTACTACCATCCGACACTTTTTCAAGTTTTCTCCATCTGTATTTTAAGTACTAACTTTAAATCACGACTGCCTCCTATTCGCTGTGTGCAAGACTGGTAGCGCTCTCTGGTGACGGGATAGCGACAGTTCTCCTCATTCATTCCCGCATACTTGCTATACACCTCACACTCAACAGTTGAACTTGAAAATTCTTTTTCAACAATTAAGTGTTGCAACAAGTTTTGTGTTCGCTGTTAGTTGATAGACTAACAAAAATTGTTTCTGTCGCACAAAAAGTAAGTAAATGACATAAAAATATTTGGAGGTTATGCATACGAAGTATCTGCGTTTTGAATGTCATAAATCAATGTAATTTGTCTGTATTTTTAGATGCTACATTTTGTCATGAGTGTCATCTTGTACACTGGATTTGAGAAAATATCTCATGACATAAACTTTCAGCCTGAAACGCCAAGAAATGGAAATATTGTCGGTACATAACTTGGGCTACTTTCTTCTTCTCGTTTTTTATTTCCAATAAAATGACCACTGCATATATAATCATTCCGTTTTGGCACCCAAGGTGAACCAT